TATATATATATGGCCAATGAGGAATACCCCCGAATTTCCTGAATATTCTTCGTGCTGTTCAGGATTTACAGAGAATCATCCGAGAGTTTCCGCACAGCTAGCTAGGTTCGCCAGAGATGTCACATCTCCTAAATTCCGTTAAATTTCGCCGTTGAAACCATCACGATGTGTACTCTCCAAAGGAATGCGAATATGCGTATCGAAATAGCAACTGGAGGAAGATAGGCAGATATGAATTATGTGGACAACATTGTTCCGTTTTTCGATTATCACGCGTAGACACAAATACTCTAAACAGAATATCTCCTTCGGCATGCATTTTGCACCTGCAAAGTCCAAGTTCTCCCCTCAGGACTTCCACCCCAACGTGCTCTCTCAAAACTTCAGAATAAAGAGCTTGAGTTTGCTGCCACTTTCACTTATCTTGAAGACTGCATAAGCCGTGATCGGCCTGTGACAGATGAAGCTAGTGCGCACATCACCAAATAATATTCGTCAACTTTCGTCGGCAACACGTTAAACGGCCGTGTCTAGAAAATGACTGTGGGGACAGCCCCACTCTGGGGCTATGAGACGCAGCGTCTCCGATCTGAAAAACAGACATCTCAGGAGATGTCTGACCACAGCATGTTAGTAAGGAAACGGCCCATAGGCGAAAACTAGGTAATTGGTAGGATTCGCTCGAGCAGCCCATGAGGCTTAACAGGTTAGGGTGGTCGGGGCATGTACTGATCACGGGCGGACTAGCGTCTACCAAATAAAACCTTGTTTTTTTTCCGAATCCCTGCTAGTGACAGGCCATCGCATGACAACATGAAATGAAAGCAGCCACTAACAAGCTTTGAGGGCTCTTCGCGACTTCCTGGGTGGTGTGCACGTGAGCAGGCTTGAGGACCTTACGGGACAAGTCACGTAACCGATTCCGGTGACAAGCTTGCTGTCACTTCTCGTCCGGACTGCTTCTCCGTATTTGTGCACTAGGCCTGTGTTAGGTGGTGTTTCCAAAGCCCGTGGCTTCAATATTGCTGATGTTGCCTTTCTCGAAGGTGGTGATCAGATATATTTACTCCAAAGGTTGCTCTCTAGAAACATTGGGCTTTTTGCACCTGTCTTCCCATTGTAATAGAGTCTTCTTGGTTTTCACTGCTAGTATACTGATTTTCGTAAGGATGAGGACATAAAGCCGACCTGTACTAGAAATCCACTGATCCGAGACATCAATATTCACTCTGTGTTGCATGAACTTAACAAGCTCGGAGTACTTGACGTAGATGGATTAATATTAATTGTCTTCACCTCGCGACATTGACTAAACATTACTGCTGGTTGCTCCTAGTAGGAAATGCACAGCCTTCCTGAACACTAGATTACTAATTCATTTAGTCCGACGAACGATCCCCCAGTTATGCGTTGCATCGAAGATGAATCTAGTATTTTACAGGTTTACGCTTCACTAAAATTCCCCTTACAATGTTCGAATTTTTCGCCTTCTTTTGGTTAGGAGAATTTTGGAATGAAGAAAGCACAAGAGGTTCGCTCGGACCGCGTCGCATTCTCTACCCGTATCAAGCAACGTTTACGAAAACCGGTTGGATTCATGCACACGCAGGTATACTGTCCAAGTTACGAAAGTGCGGAGAAGGGCCGATGTGGTGCTTTCGCATTACATGGAACCTCTCTTAACGAAAAGCCGCGCTGCCGCTGGTTAGAACAACGCGAGGTGATCTCAAGCTTCGCTGTGACTGCCCTCTTTATATGCCTTTCTGGCTGTTACTTTGACCAAAAAACACTAGCGCGTAAAGTGACTTGTATAGCATCTAGAATACTCAAGACAGAGATATGCACATCATCGTGTGTAAATAAATAGCAAGAGAGCTTCCTGTCAGTCAAGTCAGTTGTTGCACCATGAAACTGAGAACCACTCTCATACATCATACACTTTTTTCTAAAGTGTGCAACGTTTGTATCTATGACTTTATTTGTTCTATCAGTTACTAGCTGGGTTCTGTTACCCAGTTACACACTGCAACACTCAACAGAAAAGCAAGTCTTGACTTTCTCTCACCCTCGATTGTACATGGATCCTTGCTACCTATTTAATCCTTTAGGCTTCCCTTTGAAGTCATTACTGTGACTATTTCCCATGGATATCACGGATTGTAGCGAAGCGAGGTCTGCACGTACGCAGAACGTAGTTGACCGATCATACGTCTAAGTGTTGAATGCCCGCTTCGCTAGTAATGATCCAGTTTCATGGTGACCAACAGACACATCGTCGCTCAGGACAGTAATGACACCAACGTTCGACTGATCATTTGTTTATTGGAATCTTGTGCGGCTGAATTATCGGAGTCCCGTGGCTTGACGAATCTTCAAGTCCTTGGTTGCACCTTGGTTCCTATCCTTTCCTCTGCTCCCGCTTTAAAAGTGCTTCCAAGGCATTAGTGGTAAAATACTTCGAACCGAACAAGTTTCGCTTCCACAAGCTAACACTAATCAGGTGGCAGGCGGTAATGTACTTCGAAGCTTTGTACGTAGACATCTCGTCTCTACCTTATAACCTCTCTGGAAAGTAAAATAGCGCTATTCTAACACTACTGACACGGACAGAAATTTCATCTGCCTGGCCATTTGGAAGCACAGTATGGCCCATATAACGAAAACGCTTGCTAGTTCGAAGGATTCAGTGATGACATACTGAGGTTCTCGGGTGGATCTTGACTTGGCGGCTTGACTCAGCGCCAGCTGAATGGTCAATTTATTGCGCAACTAAAGAAGGGGTGACAAAGAGTGTCTCACTCGGCTGCTAGGTTGTGTTTTTAATTCCTCACCGCAACCACGAAATTCTCATATTGAGATAATGCAGCTTCAGGCTGGTTAACTTCAGCGACATATTATTATCCTTAGTCACAAAGACCCCCAGTTGATGGAGACAAATATCTGAAATCTACGGAAGTGGTCTATTTGTAGTTGTACTGCTGTTCGAGGATTGTAGGCAGACTGAATATTGGGTTGACAGCTCCCGCCTAGCGGAAACCAACTTGGTCTTGTCGCACATTCGGGTCTCTCACCTATCAAGATCACGTGTCTGTAAACTACACAGACTGCCTAATCACGTTTGGAGATTGATAACAAAATGGCTCCAGTCGGATGGAAATACTTTTCCCCATATGGAACAGAATAAGACTAGCAATGGAGCGAGCGAAGTTGGGCGATACTTATCAAAATTCGGGGAAAGTACGATTCTAGGGGCAATTTTGTTTCTTGTGTTCTGGATGGCCCCAAACTACCTCGTCTTTTGAAAGGAGTTTCACAGGAGAAATCGTATTGTTACCCAAATTGTTCCGCTGCAATGTTTGTTGGCTGGTGCGGCAGATGAGTGAATTGCTCAGCCCACCGATTCAACCACTAACTAGCAAATTAATGACGGGTGACGTAATAGTCTCAACCGCTGGGCACTTCTGTGAGAAACGAATGAGGCGGAGCAGCTATTCAGAATCATCATTAGCATTGGCCTTATTCCCCGTTATGTTGACCGGGCAATCATGACTATTCTTACTGCGGTCGTCAACCGTATCCGACAATTACTAAAGCATGCGCTTGGAGTTCATACCTCGCACTTCACTTACTGAACAACCAAAACACGGCCAAACAGTTCAAAGTCTACGTTCTTTCTGGTCGGATACCCATTACTGTTTTCAATTATTCGCAAAGATCCAAAGTTATCTGAGTTCAGAATTTAAACCATATTCGCATGCTAAGTAGCACGTCTGGCAGCTCAGGCCCCATTTTTGCAGCCTGACAGGAGGAATACGGGTGGTTCAACGATTTCTGTTTGTCAACATCCGACAATCGGTAATGCCCACATCCCACCTGGGAACAGGATGTTGTTCATCTCAGCTGATGAAACAAACTAGGCAGATGTACGGCGCTCTTAATAAAAAGCAGCCGGTCCACATTTCACCCATGACTGGCCCTACGATTTTTTCTCATTTCCATGAGGAAAGGTCTACGGAGGTGTGAGAAATATATTCCCGGTGAAATGTTCTCCCACTCTCTCGAGATAGAAGCGATTAATGACCACTATCTCCGACGCCTTCTGCACACGGCTGACAGGGAAATTAGCTGTCAGAACGTCTCCATTTGTCACCCATACTAACCATAGTATACTCGAACAATATTCCACATCTCACAACGTACTGCCACGCCGGTTTGCTGTAATATTTGTATATCGTGCATCGTATGGGTTAACATCTGTCACGCGCGCTTTCTGTAGTTGTCAGTAAAGGGAACAACCGCACCACTACGTTAACTGTTCTGTTTCAAGTGTCCGAACCTTGACTTATTCATTTGGTTGATTGCAAAATTTTAGCATATAACGCAAAGCGACAGTTTTCGGTAGTTACGCGTGACTTTCCCGGGGACTTTCATTGTCGAGGCAGGTGAATCTACTTGTTTTCTAATAGTCTCAGCTAGAGCTTTCAGAGTATTACTCGTAATTTGGTTAGCGATAGATATTGGTACCTGACGAACCTGAACAAAAGGGTCACTTGAACTTCATTCACATTTGAACCGAGAGCTGTCACACCGGTACGCGAATGTTTCGAGTAAGTTTAATCGCTACGAACGCTTCAGATGTTCTCCAACCTTGCACATACGCAACTGCGCATCGACAAGTGCATGTATACTGGCCATACTAATCCTGATTACCAATTCGTTAGGGCTGAACTGACCAAAGTAATCCCGTCCTTTGGCATGCGCCCTGCACCTCCAGAGGGTAAGGTCATACTCCTGGGCATGGAATGATCTAGCATCCCTCATATAATAGAAATAGGCAATTGAGGTCGTGAAGTTTCACGTACCTTGGAAGTTGCATTAGATCCGACTATATTGGGGCAGATGAGGTCAATTAACGAATCCCTAGGCTCAAGTCGCGCTCGTTAATTTGAGAAACCTGTGGTGTCAAGCGACATCCCTGAATATCAAGGGGCGTATGTATCAGGACATGGTTAGGCCATGTATTGCACATGCCGTCATCGTTTGCCGAAGACTACTATTTTCCATGCCGAACTCAGTGTGGCGGAAGCAGAAAGATGGCCAGTCCTGGCGGAAAGGTGAGATTAGGAAAACTTCGTGACGCGCCTTCCGAGATGGGGACTGCGGAAGTACAGCTGGAAACATTGCAAGATATGGCTGGTACTCGTTGTCAGTGGCATTGTTTCTATCCATATTGCCTGAGTGAGTGTCTGGTGATGTAGGCACCTCAGAACGATTGTGGGTACTCGTTTCAGTGGCATTGTTTCTATCCATATTGCCTGAGTGAGTGTCTGGTGATGTAGGCACCTCAGAACGATTGTGTTCGGCTAGGGCTAAGTCCTTTCTCCATCCACTTTCATTTTTTTTACAATAATGCTTTTCAATAAGTCATGGTTGTACGGCAGCAGAGCATGAGCGTTTGACGCTGATCTTATACTGTCAATAGTGATGATCATGAAGTGGGATTAGTGATACGGAGGTGAATAATAACGAATTGTCGTAAGGTGTTCGATCTTGCTTACTAAATTTACCACCTTGTCTATTTAATATGTTCCTACCGGCTATCATGTCGAATCACTGATAAAACAAAGCCGAGATAAGATATCACGGATATCATGTGACAGTTCAGTAGCAGCTGAGAGAACCAGGCCAAGCTATTTTGATGTGTCCACCCCAGTGCTAGAAAAGACCGTTCGATAAACGTACTGCCTCCTGTTAGGTTCCTATAGGCTTTTCCTCCATGTGGAAAAATACTTTTCCTTAAATAGGATGGGAGGAATGAAATGTAATGATGGAGACTGGGCGAGCAGATATCAAGGACAGTACGTTGAACATCGCTTAACACTATACGCGCGAGTTAATCCATGCAAAATAGTGTAAATCAGAGGCAAACGTCATACGCGGCCAATATCTTCCGCGCTCAACTACACGAAGCCGAAAACCAAAGGTGAGATCATCCCGTATTTCAGTCGTAATGACGTATTTGGTGGTTGCCCCCATAAGATGTTGCTATGAGAATAATCAGTCGGACAAAAATGTATTTGTTTCTAAACCCAACGAATTTTCCTAGCCAAAAGAACACAGGGAGCTATGGAAGGAAATTCTATTTACTCGGGCAAACTACCGAAAAGAATAACAAAAAACAGATAATCATGCTACCATCCCTTATGTGCATATGCACCATAAGGGATATCCGAAATAGGTGGCAGTTTCTTCTGCATACGGATTTTCTTCATATACCGCGCCCGTTTACTCTATTTTCAAAGTAAAGGGGAAAATGGTGCACTACCGATTTATCATTCGTCTGACACTCCAACAAATCATCCCAGTATATCTTGCAAAGTTTCTCCGTGTTCTGCAAACCGACGCGTGTGACACATCTAGTATCTCACGTGGGCTGAGCAAGAGGAATACCTGTAGAAGTCACGCTCCATAATCTGGCAAAATTTCGGTTTGTATGGTCCTTGCATTGTAAACCACGTCATACCAAGGTACAACGCAGGGAGGTCCAGTAGTGGACGATGGAGGAAATTCCCTCCAGGCTTGTAGCTATACGGGAAACCTTGACCTATGGAACAGGGTCAACTAAATACATAGTACTTGCCAACTTCGTAGGGTTTCTTAGATCCGTAGTTACCATCAATGAAGGAGTCCAGCACATCAAATGGTGAATCAATTAAATTAAGTTTCTTGTTCTCCTTTTGTTTTGCCTCCTGATTGAGCTGGTTCAGACGTTCCGGGTTCGTCTCAACATAAGCCATCAGTTGGAGGTACAGTATAGAGTAACTTTAGCAGGCAGACGAAGGGGCTAACTCGGAAAAACCCCGTGGCTTGCTGAAATTCGATCGGGGAGCGTAATAATAAAAGGGAAAATAACGACAGTATCAGTAATGGTAATAATGCTGGTAATACCAAACGGTAACTTCTCGTGAATGTGACAGACACACTACAACACATCACAAGGTTAGATAGCACTGCGGAATCCCTAGCTTGTATGCTGACAAGTACTCGGAGTAACTAGATTGAAGATGTCACAAGATACCCTTAGGGAATTTGATTGGGAGTTCATGTGAATAAAAAACAATGATCGCCACGATAGGTCCGAGCGATAGTGGTGTCAGAATTTTCCTCACCAGCATTATAAATATCAAACCAAACCATTAGGAGAAAGCCATGTTGGAGGAAATAGTGATCGATGAGAATCTTAGTGTTAGCTTATCATAAAAATTCGGATACTAGTGCGTCCGAAGCAAACTCTGCTAATCTCGTTCAAAACTGACGAGGCTATCAGGGACATGTTCTCCATAATATGCTGTAAACTCCAGTCAAGTTCAGGAGGAATAACAATATCACCCTAAAAATCGGGTTGCATAGGTCGCCTCCAGATGCCCCGCATAAATCTGCCTATCCGTCACGTCATGCATTACGCCTTTTACCGTTCAAACCACGCTGGACTGAACAAAGTGCGTTGCTCCTGACAAACTAGCATGGTGATCGATAAGTAAACGATCATTCGTTTTTAACAAAAGGGCATGGAATCAATTTCGTCTACAATTTCATATTCCAAACCCAACGACTGATTTGAGGACCTTCTGATCGCAATGAAGGCGTAATACCCTTACACAAAGTTCTATTCAATCGTTTCACTTGACCGTTCCCCCTTCGGCGATATGGAGTGGTCCGATTGGTGACAACGCCTTTTTCATGAAGGAATCGCCTGATATCATCCGAAATGAACGATGAGGCGCGATCGGAATGCACGAAACTGGACAGGCTAAATGTAGCGAAGAGTGGCACAAGGCACTACATCACCGTAGACGGACTTACTTCTGGACAAGCATAAGCAAACGGAAAACGGGAATATTCGTCTACGATCGTCAGTAGATATTTGTTTCGAGTCGTCGAAGGCAGTGGTCATTTAAAGTCAATGCTTAAACGTTCAAACGTTTGTGTGGCGTTAATGAGCACACCACCCGATGGCTTGAAGAAACGTGGTTTTAATTCCGCACACACATGACACTGCTTAATGACGAGTCGGATGCCCTCTAGGGAGAACGGGAAATTCTTGGCACGATCGAAATGCACTATGCATGTTGCTCCAGGATAAAAGAGGATTGCATGTAAGCGTTTTAGATCCAGCTGGGATGAAGTGTTCCCACGGAAACTCCGAGGGAGCGTGTCGGCAGCTCTGCTTTCTATGCCTGGTCTGTAGGTTACGTTAAAAGAAAAAGGCGATAACTCCATCCGCCATCGTTGAATTTTGTCATTTTTTAATTTCCCTTTTTGTTGTGTTGAATACCTGAATGCAACGGGCCACTGGTCAGTTACGATCTTGAAACTATCCCCAGTTGCTTGATACAGACTCCTAGCACAGCGAATAGTAAGAAGACGAGAACCTCGGACACAAACTTTAATAATCCAACAACACAACACACACAGGCGATGCCCGGAGCTTCCGAACCCAAGTCAGTGG